TATACTACACACACACACACACACACACACACATATATATATATATGTATATACATATATATATATATACATATATATATATATAATTTTAGTAGTACATGTACAAATTAATTTTTTTTGTATCTATTTGTACGAGCGAGGCGTGACCAGTTTGTTAGGATTAAATACCGAAGCATACCTGGGCTTGTAACTCCGCGAGTGTTCTATCATCTCTCTCTGTCTTATTCTTCACATCCTTCTTAGCCTCGGGTGTCTTGAAGAGATCATCTGTGAATCGAAGATGTTTCTGTGCTTTACGTTTCAGTGGAGTGCCCGAGGGTGTTGTAAGCTCAACTATCGGTCTCACCCTTGAGCGCGCCTTACACACGTCAGTGGCTGGGGCGTCGGGTGTTCTGAACATAGTTTTGTATCAAAGTTCGACTGCTTCAATGTATATCACTTTATACTTCGTATATTTTAAGTATTTATGTCAATATGCTGCTGCGAAGCCTCTCTCGCGAGTCGTGATAGTAGTGAGCTGTTTGTTTTGAACATGTTTGTTGTGTTTGGGTGAGGGTTTCAAGGTATATACGTTTTTTATAAATACATACTAATTACGACGACCGCCAAAATCATTAGATACTATTTTAGGCAGTTATATCCCGACATGATTTAGTATTTAGTATTTAATCTCACACTCTACTTAGTCCACAGTTATAAAACCCTAAAACCCTAAAACACTACATAGTCCACAGTTATAAAACCCTAAAACCCTAAAACACTACATTGTACACAGTTTTAAAACCCTAAAACCCTAAAACACTACATAGTACACAATCTGAACTTCTGAAGTCTGAACTCTGAAGGACTCTGGCCGTGTGAAGAGTTGTAAAGACTTTTCAAAGTTTTCTATTTTTGCTTTTTATTAGTAAAAAAACAAAACTTTGAAAAGATATTTTGTTATTTTTACAAAAACTAAAATAAAAACAAAAGCCTTCTGAAAATAGAACAAAACAATTAGTGGAATTTTTGTTTTGTTTTGAAAATAGCAGTTCCAATTATAGAAAGCATCGAACCAAAAATCATTGCTGGGACGTCCGGGCTGGGGTTTATTTATTTTTGGCTATCAAGAAGGCCATGATATTTTGAATATTGTTTCCTTTTCTTGTTTTATGGTTTATTGGAAAAAATTGTGTAAGTACCATAGCCTCCTAAAAAGAACACCTAAAAAGAACAAGTCAAACATCCTTTCGAAATGCATGACGGCACAGCATGTGTCAGATTTTTTTTTGGGTCCAACGCGCGTATATTTGGTATGAATTGTAGTCAGCCACCTGACTTTAAACCAGTCTATTCGGTGTTTTTTTAAAAGAACTGGAACTCCTTCTGTGAAACAAATTCAAAACGTAGCTTTAAATTCAGACGAATCGGCGTTCTCGAGATAGGATTTGTACTGTTTTAGAGTTTAGTGTTTTTGTACTGCTAACGGTACAATTCCTATATTCTGAACCAACCAACCGATTTGTCTGAAATTAAAGCTCCGGTTCTTAATAGTAGTGTAGATTGGATTACAAGTCTTAAAAATTTGAATTTATATACCAAAATATCGGATCCTGTAGCATCATAATATCGAATTTGTATGGGGAGTTCAAAACCTTAAACCCAACAAACCTCAAAATAACTGCATAAAGCCCTATCTGTTTTTGTTAAAATATTTATAGAGTAAATGTTTAAAATATGAAATTATTATTCGTGTAAATTTAGGTTCGAATTTCATCTGAATTCGTTGACTCTATAACTCATTTACTCTTTGACTCTCTGAACAAGATATTTTATCTGCTCTGGTAAATGAGTTTCGAAACTATCAAAATGAAAATATTGATCAAACAGTTCTGGAGCTTGACTCCAAATCCAGCTTGTCCTACAGTCCTGCTGACGAGACGTCTCAGTGATCTCACCACTATTAAGAAATTATAAATACTGTCAATCGCAGATACATCGATGCTCTGTTTTTTAAGTGTGCTTTCAAACACCACACTGGGAGGGTTTCTTACGTACGTGCATATGCTGGCAAATTGTTGATAGAATACGGCACCTGACATAGATGCTGTACATCTTACTATAAACGCGTACACATACACACACACGCACACACCATCGAGATGTCCTCAACGGGAGAATCACCGGCTAAAGACCTGTCAGCCAAGGACGACAGTCCCATACAGCCACCAACAAACAATGTGATTGATAGTACAAGTGTAGAAGTCGCGAGTCTTTCCAACACAGACATGGAGGACGAGCGAGATACCACAACAAATACAATCGATGATCAACAGAAGAATCGCGTGGGCATCTCTGAGCCCGCTAAGGAACCGAAGTATAAAAAGAAGCCGAGAGTTCTGGTGTGTGTGTTTGCGTTTGAGTATCTGTTTACTGGTGTGTGTTTTATTGATACATACTCTTCAGCGGCATGGTGAATTTCTGAGTTGTTTATTTTGGTGTCATTGCATTGCATCCAACCTTGCCTTGCATAAGAGCACACGTTTGTTCAGGTGAATGTTATGGCCGTAGGTATTGTTCAAGCATGGATCTCGTTATTAATCTAGGTGTGGTCGACTTTTATTTATAGAAATCTACCACCTCGGACATTTTGTTGCTCTGTTTGAAAAAAAAATAGTAAGAAAAAAATATATCATAGTCTCATTGTTGGAAACGTTTACAATGTTATTGAAGTTCGTTTACAGTTTGGCAGTTTTAAAGAACACTTGATAAAACATATCTACAGCATCATACATAACACCTCTACAGATTTTCACATATTGTAATGCTCCAGGGCGTTATATATATATACATATCGTATGCAAGCCTACAGAAGCCTTATATAAATTCATAAATGTAAAACATTCGAACATTACATATATATACACTATATATATACATATATGTTCATCTATAAATATATTAATATATATATATATGGATCGATAAATTTACATATATAAATTCATATTTATATATATAATTTACACGCACACATATATATATGTATATACACACACACACACATACACACACTTATACATATATATATATATATATATGTATATATATATAATATTTCCTTGTAGCCTGCAGTAATTCTAGTCTTTGAAGTTCCCAAGCATGTCTTAGATTGTAAATCTTTAGTAAGTTTGCATCGATTTCAGCACATACTAATTTATGCGTATCCGCGCACCATATCCATAAGACCTCCAGTGACAATTCGGACCTTGCATCATCACCAAGAGTGTATAGTCTGTGACGCTCATGTATCTGCGAAAACCCTAGCTAGCGTTGATTGTTCTAGCGAGCACGGCGGTTAAATGACCACATACACTCATCTGTGTGTATGTTATTTACACACATACACTCATCTGTGTGTATGTTATCTACCCACATACACTCATCTGTGTGTATGTTGTATACACACATGTACTCATCTGTGTGTATGTTATCTACCCACATACACTCATCATTGTGTATGTTATCTGCACACATACACTCATCTCTGTGTGTTATCTACACACATACACTCATCTGTGTGTATGTTATCTACACACAGACACTTACTCAATCACCTCTTGCGTACCCTGCCTTATCTTCTCTCATCCTGTCATTGTACTACCACCGTGTGCTACAGATGAAGTGGGTTGTTCTGTTTACCATTGGGTTTCTGATTGCGTATGGGTGCACGTGGCTGTGGCCCATCAGTGGAAAGGATGACCTGCCCGTCTGTCCCAACACAGGCACGTGGATCGACACGTGGATCAAAGTCTCAGACGTCTTTGAGTATGTGTGTGTGTTTGGCTGTTGTGTGTATGTGCATGTCTCATGTCTATTCCTGGGGTGTATTTGAGTATGTGTGTGTGTGTGACTGTTGTGTGTATGTGCATGTCTTATGTGTATTCCTGGGGCGTATTTGAGTAAGTGTTTTTGTGTGACTGTTGTGTGCATGTGCGTGTCTCATGTATTAATTCTTATGTTTTATGATTTTCATATAGTCTGATATCACACTCGTAAATATGTTATTTGAATTAGTAGATCGTATGTATGTTATTTGAATTAGTAGATTGTATATATGTTATTTGAATTAGTATATCGGATGTATGTTATTTGAATTAGTAGATCGTATGTATGTTATTTGAATTAGTAGATTGTATATATGTTATTTTAATTAGCACAGTTGTACCCAGTATAATTCTTGTAGACACCATCGGAATACCTACACTGTGTTCAACAACAAACCCTAAAACCCTATACAACCCAAACCCATTCAGAAACGCATTACAAAATAAACACATTATACTACAATATAAACTCCCAAGTGCCGTGTAAACTCCCCACCCCCTAAACCTTCCCCATAAAACCTTCCCCCTCTTTTTGGCCCCAGATCGCTGTATTTTGGCCTGGGCTTTGCCTTCTGCGTGGTCGTCATCCCCAAAGTCCACACCATGCAGGGTGCGCTGCGTCGGCGCATTGCCCTCATCGCCGTGTTCCTGTCCTTCTTCATGCTGTCGTGGTTCTGGCACGCTCGCCTGCACGAGACCTTCTGTGGCTATTGGGGGGTCATTCTCCTGGACGTGTTGTTTCACATCCCTGTGTCGGTCATGAGTGTGTTGATCATGAAGTACTGCGTCATCCTCATGCGCCGTTTCTCGTACTCGTCTACCTCCACCAATGCCTCCATGGATATTTTGTCCCGTGCTCAATGGATTGGCTTCTCCGTATTCTTGGCCGTTGCTACGGCTGTCCTGTCCTTCCTCGTCCTGTACTATTTACCCCCCTACACCTCCGTAGCCCCCTCCCCTCCCCCGTGTGGGTGGGTCCCTGGCTGTCCAGTGGAGCCGTGCCAGGTCCCGCTATTCTGTACCGATTTAATGTGTCCCGAACTGGCCAGCGCATGTCCGGTACAGACCACACCGTACACAATGCAGCAGTGCTATGCCAGTGGGCAAGTCAACCCAACCACGGGCCTACCCAACTCAGACACGCTGACCAACGAGTGCACGGCCCAATCGGCGGTGAGTGGGGCTGTGGGTGTCACATCGGGTTGTAGGGTTTAGCGTTTGGGGTTTAGTGGTGGTGTGTGCATGGCGTGGGCGCTTGTGTAGTATTGGGATATGTGTGGCTATCTGAATCTGGTTGTCGTCCAGAATGTGACTTTGTGTTGGTGTGTGTTAATCGCAAACACTATGGTGTTCCGTAGATAGCACCACTGCTGATTGTGTAGTATTGGGATATTGTGGCTATCTGAATCTGGTTGTCGTCCAGAATGTGACTTTGTGTTGGTGTGTGTTAATCGAAAACACTATGGTGTTCCGTAGATAGCACCACTGCTGATTGTCTTGATACGGTGCCGTTAACTTATTCGCAGACGATGTCTTTGGCTATGAACACATGGCTGATACGCGAAATGTATTATGTTATCAACGTATATACTCATTAATTCAACATCGGATATACAGTTGGTTTTAAAATATAGCTTATTGTATATATTCATTTACACGTATACATATATATATTTTTATTATT